TTTTTTTTTTTTTTACAGATGGCACAGATTGTGTCACTATGACTTTACTGAGGTCATCTCTGACAGATAAAGGCATGAAATTAGCAGATTGGCACTCATGGTTTTATTAACAGTTGTGGGTGCTTTTGGTTGTGTCGACTCGAGGTGTGCGGTGACGCCACGTCAGGTGTGCGCCGTCTGCTTGAGGTGATGAGATGTGGAAGCTGAAGTCAGGGTTTATCTTGGTTTAAATAGTCACAGTGTTTCTCAGCTCTCAGTGGGCCGTGGCTCTTAAGTCAGGACGGGGCATGCCTGCAGAGCTCCTGTCAGCATTCCTCCACCCAAAGTCTCCTCCTCATCTTCCTCTGACTCCTGATGAGAGCACTTAGTTCTTCCTCTTTCTCTGTTTGAAGCATTTGTGTTTTCTGTAGAAACAACTGTAGGCTTTCCAGCTACTTTTTATTTACTGTTTTGTATCATTTTCAACAAGCTCTCATGAAGAAATACTAGAACTTAGCAGGGAGAAGTAATTGTTGGAAACTTTTTTTTCTGCTGTAAAAGTCGGCTGTAGGACTTGTTTTGGTAAAACACTAAACTGTGTAATGATAAGTTGCAGATTCACTTCTGGCATCGATGGAGCATTAAGACTGTTTTTCCACAGGGGTTTACAGTAAATTTTAAAACTAATTTGCCAGAAATGAACACTTTTGGGGTGCAAGAGTTAGTGTCATCATGTGCCAACACATATTACTTTATTATTATTATTACATTACTTTCTTGTAGATAAATTACCTCTTAATGTGGAAGCGGTGCATCTAGTTGGAGGTATCCATTCCAATTAATGTTTTGTTTTATTTGTTTATTTTTCACCTTTCAGACTGGTTCACGCTAGCTTGATAGAGGAGGTTGTGCTTAGATGCACAAAAATGTTTAATTTTCAAAGTAGCATAACAGTTGAGAAAACTGTGCAATACAAGTTTTTTTAATCTTAGGTCGTATTCACACCTGAAACATTTGCTCTGCTTTAAATGGACCAGAGTTCGTTTACAGCGTTATACACTCATGCGAACTCTGGTGCGGATCAAACAACTGGACCGAGACCTGCTTTTTGAGGTGGTCTCAGTTCGCTTCCAAATGAACTCTGGTGCGGTTCACTTCAGTTTGCTTCTGGTGTGAATACAGACCGGACTTGAACCGAACCAACTGCATAAAACATGCGCCTTTTTGGACTTCATGGGCCATTGCTGAGCTAAATGAACTGAAATCATACCTGTTTCGTCGTCTCCTGTTAGCAGCTCTGCTGTCAGCATGTAGTGGATCAGAACACGCAGAGCACCTCGTCTCCTTTGGGTTGCGGGACACATTTACTGATGTCGCTCCAAAATTAGAATTTCATCATGAAACCACCATTAAATTAGCTGCTTTTGATATTTTAAATGCTATTGCAGTTGAACTATCAGCAAAAATGTACACATCAGAACCACAGCATGCAGAACTTCCTTGTTTTCTTCTGGGTCTGTGCGCTCAGTCCCGCCCCCGTCCTTTCTGTCCAGTGGGAGCAATTATCGTCACCCACTTGGCTTTGTTCACAAGTTATAGTTCGGTTGCAAAAAAGCACAATGTGAATGCAAACCACACCAAATGAAAAAAATAAAGTCCACTTTTGGTCCGGACCAAACAAGTGGACCAAAGGACTTTCCTGGACTGAGTGCACCCTTTGATTAAACCTGTTTTCTCATTGATTTGTTGGTAAGAAAGTAAAACTGTAAGAAAGTTTTTAATGTAGTTTTTAATCCTATGAGCAGTTCACTTTTGGATTAAACCCAAATTAAGTTGCTACCTCACCTAACAATCACAAAAACAACAATAACTCTGCCGTTTTACAGACACTGAGCTAAAATGTAATAAATCTGAGGCTCGACTGAAACAAATTGCAGGACAGTTTCACTCAAAACATTATCATTAAATTTTGGAGTTTTGTCAGTTAGCAAAACAATATATAAACTGCTGAACAGATTTTAATGAAACTGTTAATAAGTAAATACAGACAACCAAATTCAAGATGGCTGCCACAGCTAGTCAACCTTAGCCTACACATGGCTATACTCCAGTGATTTTTACAGAGCGTTCAATTTGCGGTGGTAGTAGCTGATGGTCATTCACAACATATACGCCAAGTGCTAATAGATCACATGACATATTGCATTATCGCCTGAAATTATGCATGCAGTTTTCAAGGTTTGACCAATACGGTTAGAACTTTATCATTTCTCAGCTTAAGATCCTCTTAGTTTGAAACTCGTATTTAAAGACAGCGGGCAATAGGTATTCCTTCAATGAATACTTGGTCTTTGGATTTCTGCTGCTCACAGAGCATCACTTGCTAAGTATTAACTTCAGTGACTGAGTTCAGCAGGACTCTTTATGTAAAAATGCAACTCTTCTGTTGAAAAAAAAAAAAGATGACCACAAGCATCATTGCAGATGTTTATCAGCGTGTCTTCTTCAAGGCAGCTCACTAAACATCTGTAATTGCAGTGAAATATCTCCGTCATCTGTTTGATGGCACCTGGCGCTACCTCATAACCCAGAGGAGGTTTGTTTGCAGCAGATAAAAGCACCAAGTTTCTGGGAATATCCTGGGAACTTTTCCTAAATGAGCCAATTAGACATCCAGCGGAGTTGAGGCACGCCCATCTTCTCCCAACATTTGCTGCCTGGGCTTGACGCAGACGTTACTGACAAAAAAGAAATCTCGACCAATAAAACGAAATGCTTACAATCTCCTGTAGCTTTGTGTATCGAGTCTAAATGTTTAAGCTTAAGACTGTTTAGTATTTTATCAGGGTGTATGAGAAAGACAGAAGGGAAGCTGATCGGGTAAAGAAGATACTGATGGCAGGAAGATGGTGCTGCAGGTGTTTGAAGGGTTCAGAGTTTGGCATTTCAATGATTTCTTCATCTAGAACAGGGGTGTCAAACTCCAGTCCTCGAGGGCCGCTATCCTGCATGTTTTAGAGCAGGGGTGTCAAACTCCAGTCCTCGAGGGCCGCTATCCTGCATGTTTTAGAGGTTTTCCAGCTCCAACACACCTGATTCAGTGATTGAATTAACTCTTCAAATTGGGCAGAAGCCTGTTAATTACCCAGCGATCAAAATCAGGTGTGTTGGAGCAAGAAAACCTCTAAAACATGCAGGATAGCGGCCCTCGAGGACAGGAGTTTGACACCCCTGATCTAGAACTTTCACTGCTGCATTTAAACACTATGGCCTTCATTTATCAATGATTACTACATATAAAACGATGTGCAAACGTGATAACCCATGCGAAGCTGTTTTATTTTTAAGACTGCGTCTGTCAGATGAGAACAGCAACCGCAGCTCATTCAGCGTGTCTGCATTCATGAATATGCAGATTACACAAAATACTGGGTGGAGATGTAATATAGAGATATAGATATAATTTAGATATAATCATTTTACACCTGCAGTGTGATTTATCAAACCTTGAAACTGGTTGTGCTGCTGTTTTAGTGTCCATATTTAGTCATTTTAAAAGTCAGGTGCAAACTGGCAGCACGGCTTCAGACACATTATCCTCTCCACTCTGCAGTGTGACAGTAAATAATAAAAAAGTACATAAACTGCAGCACAGAAGCTTAAAAAATGAACTATAAACTCTATCTCAGCTGTGGTATTTTAATTTTCTTTTCAGAGCTGGGACAGAGGAGTTATTTTTTTCCTTTCTGAATCTTTCTCCAAAAGCAGCCTGAATTACAGTAATTGCACACTTGTAATATTCACATTTAATGTGATTGTGTTTTCCTTTAAACAAACGAGTAATCTGTCAGGCACCTCTCGGTCTTCTCTGTGTCTGTCCAGCGGACAGTTTGCTCTGATCATCTGTTCATACATGCCAACCCCCTTCGGACAGTTTACTGTATTTTGACCCTCATAAATATGTAATTTTGACAATAAATTTGTATGACTTTAAAACAATTTAACAAGGTGGGTTGGTTGGAGCGAACTGTCAGCCACGGAGAGATGACACTGTCTGCAGGGAGGGATGAAGAAGTTGTAAAGTTTCTTTCAGCCTGCTGGCTCTGAGGCTTAAATTAATTTGAAGGAAAGTTTTGAAAAAAAAAATCTGTAAGACCGCTGCACCTGTTCTTCTTTGTGCACGCAGTCTCCTGCTGTGACCACTCAAAATTTCAAAAGTCCTTAGAAAATGTTTCAATTTATCAAAATGGAAAACTGCATGACTGCAAAAGGTCAAATACAATACCAAGTACCACACGAAGAATGAGTTATTCTCTTTTATTGTCCCATCTGATGTGACCCACTACAATTTACAGCAAACAACACGCACAATATAGAAGATGGGAAAAAAGCAGCAGAAAAGTCTTTTGAAAACATATATATTTATTTGTAATTTGCTGAAGTGTTTGAGAAGTTTCTAACGGCTTGTCTTTTTGTCTGTGCAGATATCGACGAATGCTCTTTCGACCGAGCTTGCGACCACTTCTGCATCAACTCTGCCGGTAGTTTCCAGTGTCTTTGTCGTAAAGGCTACGTCCTGTACGGCCTGGCACACTGTGGAGGTGAGGCCGGGTGTGGGTGTAAAGCTGTCTCTTATTCTTTGCCAAACTCTTACTGTTCTGTTTAAGGTTTGAGCAGGGAAAAACGGCTCACACAAAACACAGCTGAGGAAATGGGTTTGGTGCAACAGAAAAAAGGTGGAAAAAGAAAAAAAAACAAATGCCCACTTTGTTGTTAGAAAACTGACAATAATTTTCCTAGAAGCTGCTGCAGAAAAACAAACTACTCTTACTGGTGCAGGGTGTCTAATTCTGCAGGTCATGTGCATAAAGGTAGGCTTTACCAGCTGGTAACTTTATTTTAAAATTACTATTGCACTGTATCTAGTCTGATCTGTAAACAGTATCCTGCAGCCTGTGTGCCAAACAGAAGGTTTGATAAACTTCTGAAGGTATCTCTCTGTCTAGGATTAAATAAATATTACAAATATTAAATAATAATTTAAAAAGCAATGTTTGTTTCAAATAATTAGATTTGAACTTGTTACAAAATAAAACAAAGTTTGGGGAGTCGTCCTGTAACCGGTGGGTTGCCAGTAGTGCTGAGTGGATGGGTAAATGAGGGCACAGATCGTAGTATAAAGTGCTTTGATTATCCTGGTTGAATAGGAAGGTGATGTTTATGTATAAATTAAGTTCAGTCCATTTACACTTTACCTGCTTTGCCTGCTGGTGGTGGTCAGAGGGTCCGGCGGCACCGGTGCATGGCAGCCTGGCCTCTCAGCTGTGGCTGCAATGTTGCTCACCACCATCCGTAAGTGTGTGAATGTCTATAGTGAAGCACTTTTAGGGTATTAACCATTTCAGGCTCTAATTCAGCCATTTAAAGGGCCTGTCTATCAGATTATATCCCAGATTATTGTGTTCAAGGATGTAGAAAACTGTTAAAATCATAAATTTTGTTATATTTTAGGGTTTTTTTTGTAACTTTTACTCTGAATTAATTAGGGTTTTTATTTCGATGTAATCCCTTTTTTGTTGTTGCCGTCAGATGAATAAAAGTGAATTTCTGAATGGAATTTTTTTCATAACGCAGAATAGACATTTACCATAACCTGTGCATTTTTTCCCTAATTGTTACACTTTTTATTTTGTTTGTAAGATGAATTTGACTTTTTCAGTTGTGTTCAGTTTATGACTGAAGGGTTTCAGTTTGTTACTTCTGATCTGCCTCCATGTGGGACAGTTTATTGTGCCTCTGGTTTATGTTTTGAGGTGGAGTGATACGGTCAGCACACCGGATGGAATGTCAGTGTCGTTGTTTAAGTGAACGAGCGTTTGGCTTTTGTTTGATGCAGAAAAAAAAATTAAGCACATGCTGAGTGACTGAGCTGTAATCTGTACCATAACAGGTAACTCTGAACATTAACCCCGTTACAACGTTCTTTTAAAAGCTACACATGGCCGGTGATGAATTTAGTTTTTTAGCCTTTTTGAAAAAGTTCAGTGGTAGTTACATTTTCTGTAAATGCTCACAGCATGCACACACTCTAACATCAGACTTTACCTCTCACAGACCCTCTCACACTGAAGCCCTCGTGTTAAACTTCCTACATAATGTATCAACTCATAACTTTAACAGTCGACATCAAATATCTTGACAAGAAATTCAGGTAACATGTAATTCATATGCTAAACAACCTCAAGCCTGACGTCTAAGATTTAGCAGCTGTCTGCTTGAAAGCTACAAATTTAATTGGCAAAATGGGTTTGTTTCATCTCACATCATTCTTTGAAAGCAGCAGCTGCATTTTTTTATTTTATTTTTTTTAGTTTTTTTTTTTTTGGACAAACTGAAATGCGTCTGAACGCTGCTTTTGATAGTTCACCTATCACATCGCAGTTTTTAGTCTCAGCAAGTTGATCTTCTAATGGGCTGAAATGAGCTGTAACAGGTGGCTGCCTGGAAGGCAGGAAATCAATCTTATTCTGAAAAACATATGCTCCTTTTGGCAGCAAGATAAAGTGCAGGCAGTGTGTGTGCTGTACTTAATGGACTAAAAAAAAAGAAACAACACAGTGGAAATTCTGGTCCTGCGGGGGGTGGGGGGGTGGATGTCGATTAGAAATAAAGAGGAAGTCTCTGTGCTCTGGAGCAGAAGTAACCTTTATTGTCATGAGGAGATGTGTGAGGGCACATCAGATCTGCAGAGAGACTCGCCGGAGCACAAAGAGGAGCTGTGGCATCTTTTGACTGAGTTCACATCACCACTTAGAACTGTCGGCTGTGGGCTGCAACTCAAGGCTTCACAGTAGACACAGAAATATAAGGGAAGAAATTCTTTTCCATTTTCAGTGCATAGCTTTGCTGTGTTTTCTTCTGTTTTAGGAAGTTGGACAGTTTCTGCCAGTGGTGGGCAGCGCTAATCCAAAAATTTGCTCTGCAATCTCTAAAGCGCTAATGAAAATTTTTAGGTCCGCAACTTTGAAAAAGCTTATGTCATAGAAAAATTAACGGAAGCTAATTTCAAAGCACAAGTTCAATTTGACACTTACTAGCTGACAATTCATGTACAATATGCACAATACTGCCAACTAGCGTTGTATGAACCCTTGTAAAGCTAAATACTACAACTGCTGATTGCTGGAGTTCTGATTTCCTGAAACAGAACTTTGGCTCCTGGTGTAAAAATTAAAACGTTGTTGAGGCTTGCTAGTTTGGCTGCTTCTTTAAAAAGTTTATGAGGATTGCTAGTTCGGCTGCTTCTTTATCTTTTTCTTGTGTTTGTTGTAGATTTTCCATTAAAGAAGCATCAGTAAAGTAATTTTAAAACTGTTTATTGGAAAACTGAAGCGATGCATTCTGGGTACATGATGGACTGACGGGAAACGAAAGCACGGGGAACAGGAACTAGTATCTTCCCTTCAAAATAAGAGCTTGGATTTTAAAGTTTTTCCTGTTTCCATTGGATTTTAAAGTTTTCCAGTTCACCTGAAACTCATCAGACTGAAGAAGTCTCTTGGAGGAGAGAAGAAATGTTTCACTAAAGAAGAACCCATCCAGAGGACCTACTTATTATTATTATTTTTTTCTACCTGGATTAGGACATTTTCCATATAGTTGCTCCAGTTGACCACAAGATGTGAGTCTTCAACAGCAAAACATCTTTAAATCATTTCTGAGTCTCTAACACCATAGGCCGATTGCTTTTGAGCTCCAGCATTTAAACAAACATTTACTGTTTTTGCTGGGAAAGGGAGTACTAAACATTGCCTTCCTGCTACATAAGCAGACACAAAGCATTGTGGGAAATCAGAACCGTGGCTGAATGCAACAGTCCACAAGGATGTATACCTTCCTAATAAGTGTTTATCTGGGAAGAGTGCTGTTGGATAGATCACGTGTGTTGTGATTCATTCATTGACAGCCTTATTTTCCACTGTTCAAGATGATGATGACTGGTAGATAATTAGTTATCAGCGGTACTGCATTTTAATTTTAGAAAGTGCAAATTCGCTTATGAATTATAAAAATTAGTAAGTCAGCTAAAGCGCAAATGAAATATTTAGGTCCGCAATTAGCGGATTTGCGCCTTAGCGGGCTTGTGCCCACCACTGTTTTTTGCTTACCAGGAAGTGCAACAGACTGAGAATGAAGAATGGTGGTGTTGTTGTGGAAGATCATTCAGACTAAATGTCTTTGTTTTATGTTATTCTCCTCTTTGTGTCTGTCTCTCTGTCAGGGACCACAAAATGTAAAAGATACTTTGGAGTCTTCAAAAATCCATTCTAGTTTTACATACTGAACTGTTCAAAGCATCATGAGACAGTGAAAGGCTGTAGTCGTGCCTGAAATCGTAAAAAGTTACTTTTTATTTAATTCCAGCTGTTATATGTGTTTGTAGGATTGCACACAATGCTCTATTTGGACCAGGTTTAATAGGTTCATGGGAACCCATTGTACACACAGGTAGCTGTATTAGCTGTCAGTTCGGAGAATAAATGCACCAGAATTGGATCGGTGAGGCTTTTACGCGCCTGACGGACGATGATCAGGCCACTCGGAGCTGCTGAGAGGAGTGAAGATGGCCCGGCGTAAATGGCTCTGCGTACCATTGTTGAGTGAGCTGGTGATGAATGATTTCCCCTCGCTTTTCAGCGGCGCTGTCAGAACCGTTAGATAACCCTCGAGATTTATGGCGCTCCCATGTTGTACTTTCTTCGCTCCGCCGTGCCACAGCTAAGGTTATGTTATTCCCGGTGCAGTTTATCAGCTGAAATATAGCTGCCAAACAGGCCAGAGAGACGTGTTCAGTGTTTAACAATAGAGCTGCCCTTAACAAACCCAATTAGGTCAGTGACCTGGTGTCAAGGATTGTGTCAACATTCCTCCAGAGTGAGAAGATATGCAGCCAATTTCCCACAGTGCAAACAAAACCTTCCACTTACTTTTACTTATCTGATAAGAAAGTGGAGCTGTTGTGACTAAAACCATTCAGGATTTTTTTTTCATTTACCTCATTTAAACTTTTACTTTAAACTGATAGTTCAGATCTGCAGTAAATTTGTTAACAACTAATATCTTACCTGTTGTAGATGGCTCTTTAAACGACCTGAGTTTGGAGGAAAAGATGTTAACTTTGAGCTAAAAATGGGTCCAAGCAGGGCCAAGACCAAAGTAGATTATGCAGTCTTCAAAATTTGTAATGATAAACTCTGCCTTTTTGAAATTTGGTATGCTTGTTTGTCTTTGTGTCTATGGTGTATAATGATGTGATTGTGGTGCTGTAATTCTGAGTGTTTATGTGCTGCAGAACAGGAACCTGCTGTAAAACAGCAATTATGCTGAGTCAGGCTTGATTTTTAATAATATTTTCCTGTTAAATAAATAAATCAAATCAAATCAAACACAAATAACAGCAGCAGCAACTAGCTGTGGCACTTTCGGTGCAGCCTGGATTCCTTCCAGCAAAACTATACTACTTCTGCTGGAATAATTATCCCATCTGGAAAAATACAGATGAACGTCACTTTTTTCAAGAAAATTAAGTTTTTGCATGAGAAAACATGATAAATTTAATTGAAAAACATTTTTCTTGTGTGGAATTTGTAACAAAAACAAAACAAAACTGAATTTCACATGTGGAAAACTCCATGTTTTTACCTATGAAAACACATTAAATTAATATGTGAAACAAGTGATTTGTTCATGCTTTCCATGTGATTTTGGATCATTTTCAACACGTCCATGTAATGAAATGTGAAAACATGTCTTTCTTCTGTGAGGGGTGTTATTTAAAGGGGACATCTCAGGCAAAATCCTCTTTTTAGCTGCATTTTATTGTGTACATGGAGTCTATAGGAGTGCAGAAAAGTTTAATTTTATCGCTGCATAGATATCTTTATATTCTATTTGGATCATATTTTTCAACCCGTTCAGTTTTCTGTATTGTCTTTGACGTTTTCTGAACTATTAGGGTAATTTTTTTTGCGATGGAACAACCAGATAAGGTCTGGATGTATGCTGAATTTCACAGCAGGAACCTGTTAGAGCGGAACTAGAAATTCTGAAGCTGGACTGATGTCAGTTGCGAGCTGAAAGCGTTCCAGTTTCAAACTTATCAGAACGTCGGAAAAAGCGTTTCTATTTTTTTTGTTCAATAAACAACAATAAAAATGACAACAATAGTGCTGTACGAGGCATTTTGAGCGTACAAATAGCGTTAAAACATTTCTCCTAGTGATCAATATAAAGTACTACAAGTATATCTGACTTAATGTAAAGTAAACTACACAGAACTGCTAAAAACTATAAAAGTCAGAGTTTCAATTTGTTGATACGAGGAGCAGCCATGTTGAAATGATGACGTCACACATGATCGGGCTGCTCTGGTATGGTTGTGTTGCATCAACCTCTCAACTCGAAACTACGACATCACCTATTGTTCTGAACTGAGGTGGTTCAAAGAGCTGTCTGCAGCAGGTTAGATGTTGATAACTCTGAACTATCACTTTAACCTTAAAAACTTTTTAACAGCACAATCATCTTCACTTTGTAAAGATGCAGAACAAATTAGTCAAAAAAACTTTACAACGATATGATATTTAGTAACTTCTTCATAGAATATCCCACCAAACTTAACATAACATTTTGATAATCCCATCCAGAACTCCTCTTCTTTACTCTTTGGTGTCTAAATGTCAGTTTGTCTTTGTGTCCCGGCCTTCTCCTCTCTCTCGGCTCGTGACAACACATGAGCATGCAAAGAGAGCTGCAGAAATGTCAGAGTGGAGCATTTGAAGATAAAAGAAGTCAGCTGCTGGCAGATGAGCCTCCCTTCCATCAGATATTCATTAGAGGTCTTTGTCCTTTAAATGGAGTGCTTTGATGCGGAGGATGCACAGCACACCCCTCATGACACTTCCAAGCAGCCCCGGCTGCTGATGAAGTCATCATCCTCCTAAAGGAGCGCGGCAGACTGTTTTCATTCAGGGTGAATAATTGACTGAGAAGAGGAAGAGGCCGGATCGTCCGTCACCGCCATTATCTCCGTCTCTTTCCTGAAAGTCTGCGCCACTTGTCCGCAGCCCGCTGATCGCTCCGCTCTGCCTTCTAAACTGATTTTCTGTCTGGCATCGATTGCAGTCAGCCTGCATCTGGATCCCGGCTGCTTTCGGTGGTTTTAGCTCAGCGTGTGTTTCAAAAGGTGATTAAATTTTACTGCCTGCCGCAAAGTCTTCCTCCCCGAACAGCCGAGAAGTCCTCGCCATGAAATTGAACGTGGGTGACATCAAAACAAGAATTTAACTTCTGTTTACACGCAAACATTTTAATCACTCTGACAGGAGGAAGCTCACAGAAACGCCTCCTTCACAGCAGAAGTGCTTCAAATAAGCCTGTTTTTATAAGATCTGCTGTAAAAGACTGACTCCGTATATGTTCGGGATTGATAATGTTTCTCATTTTATCTTTTGCCAGTGAAAGTTTTTTTTTCTTGCTCTCTGATTTTTAATGGGAACCAATCGTCTAATGCTGGTCGATAAACTGCTTTTCTTCAACACACCTTTTTTTCACAGATATTGATGAGTGTAGTATAAATCGTGGAGGATGTAAATACGGCTGCATCAACTCTCTGGGGAGCTACGAGTGTACCTGTCCGCCTGGCCACAAGCTCCACTGGAACAGGAAGGACTGTATCGGTATGAAGCAACACTGCCCCCATGTGGTCGATTCACTCGCATAGCTGTGGATGAGCAGCTCCTATCTTTGTCGTTGTGTGTGTTTAGTGATGCATTGTGTGTTTTATTTCCTCCCAGAGCTGGTGAAGTGTCCTGCAGGACTGGTCGCACCAAAGGCCACTCTGACCTGCAGCAAGACGGACAAAAAGGAGAGCTGTTCTCTTACCTGTGCTTCTAAAGCTTACTATTTAGCAGGTATTTTACCTTGACTCACAGCGCAAACACACCGAAAAACACTTTGGAAACTTATTTTATTTGTGCGTGGACTCTTTCAGGGATAAATAACAGCTACTCAGTCAGTTGTGGCATCCCCAATCTGACGGGGAAGCCTCCTGCCAGAATCAACTCCAGCACCATTCAGGGCTGCGTAGGTTTGTTGGCCGTCGCTTTCTTTCCTTTTTTTTTTTTCAGATCAGTGGTTTTTAAAACCAGCACAAATGTCTCTGAGTATCTGTAGCTGTATGTTGTTCTGGCGTCCTCCCACCCACTGGGCTGTGTTTGTCTGTAGAGACTCTGGCGCCTCCAGTGAAGCAGACGGCTTCTTTCAAGATTAAAAATGCCAAATGTCACCTGCACCCAAAGTTGACGGGCAGGACTGAGGACAGGGGCCGGACTCTGGGGCCAGGTCAGTCCTGCGTACCGACACTATTTTTAAACATGAATGGATGCACTGTGAGTCTGGATTTTCTGCTGTATTCTGGGTTCAGGAGCCAAAAAACATGAAATTACTCCATGACAAAGAAAGAATTTGCCAAACTTTAGGACTATAGAAATTAAAAAAATAAAAAAAAGTCTTGATTTGCAAGTGACTGAAAATATACAGTACTTTAGCAAAAATAGAACCTAAACAGCAAGAACACAACAAAACAATGTTTGATATAAAATGTGTTAGATTTGCATAAACTTTGTATTTTAGTTGTATTTTTTAGATATAAATAAATATAGATTGAGAATTGGTCTTAAGGTCTATTAAAGCTAAACAAGAGACTAAAGATTGGTTTTACTTATCTATCTTGTTTGTTTTTTACTATTGAATTTATATATATTTTTTACAGTATGCTGATTAAAAATTCACTTTTTATCATTCACATTAAAAAAAAACAGTTACCGCTCATGAATTTTATATCCATCCCTACTAACCATAACCATACTGGAATTTAGTTTTTTTCTGCTTCCTTTTTTAAGCCTTTTATGATGTTCTTTCCAGTTTCCTGTTCCTTGCTCCTTACACTTCTAAAATGTGTTACCTGTCAAAATGAGTTCTGTGTTTGCTTTGAAAACTGAATTTGTTCATTTTAACATTTATTGTTTGTGCTCATTTCAGTTAACAGTTAACATGTTATTGCTTTCTGTCTTTAAGTACAAGTGTCAATAAATCATTTGAATATAGATTTTACAACACTTGTAGTTGATGGACTCAGAAAGTTGGAAGAGTTTGTTATCCACTATCCTTCTGCCAAAAAACTAAAGAAGATGTCTTTTAAATGAGGTCGCAGTAGCTCAAACAAATTTATTGATTTTCTATCCCTGCCTGTTCAGGGTTATCTGGAGCTGATGTTGATCTCCAGTGGTCACACCATAAACAGGTCTTTAGTTCATCACAGGACCAACACACAGATAAACAACCATTCATCACACACACACACACACACACACACACACACACACACACACACACACACACACACACACACACACACACACACACACACACACACACAACAGCTAC